TTTCAATAAAAGAATTTGGATAATTATTGAAATTTAGAATTTCTTTTATAAATTGTTTTTCTTTGGAAAAATTAGATTGATTACAAATTATTTTTCCTCTATCATATAGACTTTTTACGATACCTTTTTTAACTATTATCGGGTGATTTGAGTCGAAATTCACATATCGGTTTGTATGAGTAGGTTTTAAGTTTGTAAAAAAATGAATCCGCCTCAACAATATAGAACTTATCTACTTATGGCTTTATTAGGGTTTCGGAAATGTTGCTAAGGTTGTCTGGTCTCAAATTTACTGCTTTTGCCTGTTTTTTTATTTGTATCATTTCTTGGATTCTTCTTTTATGATAATTTGTTTCCCTAATTAATATATCTGCGTTGTCAAAATCAAAATTATGCAACATTTGTTGTGCATGTTGTGTTAATGCCGTTTTAATTTCACTAGTATTTCTCCGACTGTATTTATGTTCGTACATTCTCTTTTTTAAATATTGTTTAGTTTGTCCTATATATGTATTATCACATTCTAAACAATTCACTCTATATTTTGCATATTATTAGTGATAGTGTTGTCAGTTTTTAGGCGCCTGGGAAGCATCATCAGCCCTACGAATCAAACGGGAGATTGAAAGCAAATATGCGAACACCATAAGGAAATCATAAGGGTCCACTTCTGCTGCACACCAAGACTTCATTAATGATCGGTCATTTTAACAGCTGGAAATTTTGCCATCCAAATATATCCTCAATTATTTTTTGATCTACCAAAACCTAACACAGTTTAAGTCCTCTTATGTTGTTACAGACCACGTTCGAGTGATACTGACAACGCCATCAACCACATTCCAGATATCAACTCCTCCACTTTGAACATCCTGGACGTACGAACGCCGCCAAAGGTCCAGAGCCAAATCAAAGACAAACTATCCAGCAAATACTCCATTGAAGCTTCTCATGCTGGAGTGGCCATTCCGGTCGACGAGGATGTCGTTATGGAGGAAAGTACTAAAAGAGCGAACTTTTACAAGCTGGACAGGCCAACTACTGCCAGTGGCGGACTGTCCACTTGGATCCTCTTGAGTGGCCACTCGTCCTCTACTACCCCAAGCCCTGCCACAAAGAAACCCAGCTTGAAACCCGAGATCAATGAGACGCTGAGTGAGAAACCCACCAAACTCTCCAAGCCAGTTTTCAAGCAGCGCAGCACCACTTTGAAACCAGTGACTACCACTAGTAAAAAAACAACTACTGTGCGAGTGAACACTTTTTCGCCGTCAGCAAAAACCACCACCAGAAAGCCTGCAAAACTCACGAAAGTTAAGGCCTCTTTGATTCAAAGCCTTACCAACCCCAAGGCAAATAATGCGACTACAACGGCGAAACCTGCAAAGCATGCTTCAACCACTTTGAAAAGCGTTACAATGCGAGAAGTAACCACTACCCTGACTACTACTCAGCCCTCAGCTAGCCTTCCCCTTGAAGCCAAAGAAGACGACAGCACACTCCCTTCAACTGAAGCCAGCAAGAAGAAGACGCAAAAGAAGAAAAAGAACAAAACGCGCAAGCGAAAGCCCAGCAAATCGAGCAAGGAAGGCAACAACAAACTCAAAGAGGTGGAGTCTCCAGGCACTCAGCTCTACAGCTACTTGCGCAGCGAAATAATCCCAGTAACTGTTGGTGTTAGTCTGGTGGGTCTTCTGGTCACCGCAGGCCTGGCCAGCTACTACTTGCAGCCTTTCGCAGCCCTGCGAAGAAGCGATCCTATCGACAGAAAAGACACTGCAGGAAGCTACTACTACCAAGACGATTACACAAACGCCATGCCAGAAGAGGAGGCAATAGGCAAAGTCATAGCAGGAATGCCCGAAAACGTCTTGCAGGAGAACACTGCAACCACCTACAAGCAACCCACGTCCAGAAACGCCTACCAACAAAACGTTCGCTACAGGCAAGTGGATCGGAGATCTCAGATCTTCATGAATCCCTATGGATCAGTGGAAGATGTCAAGCTCCATGACCGGCCAGCAGTCAGCTACAATGAGGACAAAAAATTTGTTGTTGGTAGCGCTCAGACTGAAGCAATGCCCGAAGTTACTCCTGCAGTTGTTCCTGAGCACGGGCCACGGAACCTGAAAGATGCTGACCGCAAATTTGTTGTTGGGAGCATTCCTGAGGAGTTTTACTCATCGGGGGCTGCCCCTCGTAGTATGCAGATGCGGAGGCGCCGGGAGGCGCTCCCAAACGACATGGACAATGAAATATTTTCTGGAGAAAACGACATCGACGGCGGAGATCGTTGGAAGCAGAGCACAACAGACAAAATTCCAGTTACAACTTTCGCAGCTGCAGAAGAATCCACGGCTACAGACATTGAGACAACAGAAGAGGCCGTCAAGAGCTCCACTCCTCATAACGTGTTCAGTCCAACCGAACGCCCAAATACCTTCCTTGAACTGATAAGCGATTTGTTCAAGTTAAAGGTCCGACTTGGGATGGAATTGATTCAAAACTTCACCAGCAGCGTCTCAACGTATGTTTCCAAAGTTCACACCAGATTGGATGAACATTATCGAAAAGCCAACAGAGAGAATAATCAGTCAAAGACCCACTCTAATTAATCAACTTGGGTTTACTGTAGTTTAGGTTTAAGAAAGTTGTGACTGTGTAGGTTTAAAGCACTCGATTCTAGGCCATTCTATTGCAGACTTCAGCGGAGACAAGCGAAAGCAATCATTTAAACGTTACCTTATTTACTATGCTCAAAGTTGATCTTGCCTGGGATTTTCTAAATTGAGGGTAGTTCTAGTCCAAAGAAGTTTCACTTTGAAAATTGCAAAAAAATCCTTGCGGTGTTGGTGATGGGTTAACTAGTAAGATGCATGGGAATAGAGATGCTGTGTGTTTTATTGATTATTTAGGTAAGCAGGTCTAGCAGGAGTAAGTAAGACTGTATAAAAACTAAATTATTTTCTTAGAGTTAGAGGATTGCTAGTGGATAAGAGTTGAAATGATTTTTTATTAGAATTAAAGCTATTATAGATAAGTTGTAGTATTTTTAGCCAAATATCACGAAAATGGTCAACTTTCAACAAATACTTTATGCAAAATTGTTTTTTTTGCAAAAAATCGTGTCGATAAAAAGTTGCGGAAATTTCAAGACGAAAAGGGAGTCCTTTAGGGGGCAGCAGAAAAGCGTTCTTGTATTGGAAAAAAGATTTAAACGCATTTTGCTTAAAAGTTCGCACCTTCCTAAATAAAGCTTAGTTTTACTGAATTTTAACACACCACACCAATTCAAAGAACTGAAACAGTTAATGTGTACAAAAATTAATAACAAGTTGATGTTTTAATTGAGCTTTAATTATGGCTTTTGTCTTCATGCGATTATATAAAGCAATCAAATTTTATTAATTTATTTAAATGTACTTGAATTCAAGAAAACTATTGTTCTTTCCACAGTCTTTATATAATAGGTACAAAATATTGATTGAAGACATATGGTGTAAATAGGTAAAAATTGCTTGAAAAGGTATTGCAAGGGAACAAAGAAGAAAAAACTTCAAATAGATCGGATGAAACAGAAGCTGCGGCTGCCGCAATCCATCGAATGCTTAAGATATTTTGTTGTTGAAAAATAAGTCAGTCGTGGCACAAAAATATAGACACTCAAATTTGTTCAAAAATATATTTAAGTACCTACAACTAAATTAAATAAATAATTCATCAGTCACACCTAATATTACGTAATTTGAACTTAATCGCTACCCGGCCATTGCCATCGGAACCATCATGGCCATGGTCGCAGGAATCATTCCAGCACCTAAAAATAAAAATATAGTCCTAATAAAAAATCCCAAAGAAACCCTCAAGCATTACTGCAATCCCTCTGATCCTTTTTTGAAGACTAAAAGTTCACCTTTTAGGTGTTAACTCAATACATACCAACTGCTGCCATGACCGCTCCAGGATCAGCATACTGAGGCACGATGCCAACATTCTGACTAGAACTCTCTACACCTTTATTTGCGTTCTTCTTAAGTGGCTTTCTCCGTTTCCTCTTTGCTTTGATCTTCAATCCGTTCTGCTTGTGATCGAAATTCTGCTTCGCTTCTTCAACACTTTCAAAAGTGGATTCCACCTGCAGCAAACCACCATGAGACGTGGTCATGTTCACGCTGGAACCTTTTAGTGGTGGCAGTACTGTTAAACGAACACCTCTAGAGAAATGAAGAAATAATTTTTCAAGTGTAGTCAATGTCTTTGCAAAAAATGGAAAACGTACCTTGATGCCCTTAAGATCTGCGTAGGTTCGCTAGTACTGCCCAAAGTCAACGACCTTTGCCTTTGATTTCTTGGCGGTTTGTAGCCTTTAGTGGTGGAGAGCAGCACCCACTCGCCTTCTCCTTTGGGAGAGTGATTTTCCGACTGCATCTCCAACTCTGTTCCTTGCCTTCGCAGGAAATCGTATGGATTCGCTTGAGGAAAGTTCGAGGGCATACCATCAGTGATGATGTCGTCATGGAACGGGTGATTTGGCCGATTGCAGTTCTTTTCTAAACAACCAAAAGGTCTCCTTAATGTTTGATTGGCGGGAATTCCTGAAGACTTACGGTTATGGTAGGAATAGGGCCTTCCAGTGCTGCTGTGGGAATTTGAAGGATAATGAGCCTCCACTTGAACTTTGTGCCCATAAAACGCAGTTGGACGGGGGTAAATAGTAGGGGCGGGTGTTGGGCGTGGCCTAGATCCATGGTCATAAAAACTGTCATAACGATCAGATGATTCCGTTGGCCGATGATACATGTAGGCGTTTGGAGGAGTAATGGAAACAGGCCTGGAAATTTCCTAAGAATTAGCTTGAGTTAAATTTTCATTATTCGGATCGTGCCTATTGAAATCTGCGTCATCGTCTTCTTGCAAGTAGGGCCGTTGGCTGCTGATCTGGATGTGTTCATCCCAGGGCCCTTCAGTGGAAGGCTTGTACTTGCTTTGCCACTTTGAAATTTTGGACACTGACCAGGGGATCGGGTCCAAGCTAACCCATCTAGAAGCAAATCAGCAATCTAAGCAACGAAAGGCGATTTTTCCACATCTTTACCCTTTTCTGTCTTCATATGGATGCTTGTGTTTCTGCGCATTCATCAGCGCCCAACTGCTTTTCGGCTTGTCCTTCGACATGCCACTTGCATCGTCTTCTTGAATGAGTTTATCCAGGCTTTGCGACGACGCATCTTCAGAATAAGTTGGCCTTCTGATGTGCGTTTTGGCATAAGTTTCCAGAAAGTCTTTCAGCGACAATTCCTGGTCTTCATGGCTGTTGAAGTTGGAGTTTGTGTGGATGCTGCGATGGCCATTTTCAGACCTAAATCGGAACATGCAAGATTTTACAAAAAATTTCGTTTAAGGTAGCTAACAAAATTCAAGTTCATCCGGATAAAACTCCAGATGTTCAGAAAAACAGCCTGTGTTTGAATAGGAACGACACAAACCTTTCGCTTCCTGATTTGTCCCATAAAGATCCAGGATCCTCCACTTTAAGAGAATCGCCGTCAGCAACTGTGGCTTCACCAAAGCTCCTTCTGAGCGCTCCCGAGCTTCTTTCGCTCTCCACTGCGCGCAATGCGAAAACTATTAAAAACACTACTGCACAATTCATTGTTTTAAACTAAAAACAGCTCAAGAATGCCGTAAAGGGCTGTTTAGGGCTGTTTGGCTCCTCACATGGGCCAACGCAATGGAGATAGAAGTGCTGTTGTCACTAAACGGAACCTAATCGAAGAAAGTTAAGTTTCGCGGTGAAATGGTTCCGAACAGAATGAAGATTGTGATTATAAATGTGTATCAGACTCTCCCTTCTTTGTTTAGTCCGATGCCCAATGGCAGGAAATGTTGAAAAGCTTACTGTTTAAATTAAACAGAATACTAACTAGGGTTTATCTCTAATAATCAAACCAGTTTTTTGTCGCCTGAAAGACAAAAGTGGAAGAATTAGTGAAGGAAAATTGTTATAGTTGAAGACATCTGGTAGTCAAAAGTTTTGGGTTTTGTTTTTGTTTTCAGGCCTAACAACATTGAATAAACTTTAATTTATTTGGTTACAAATCGGGCTTTTAAGGATAGAGAGAGTATTACTTTCGATTAATCGATTGGAAACCCAATTATTTTTAAGTGGGTGCGTGCAGCTCTGAAGATGCGAGTCATTCGTGCTAGCGAAACGTCAGGACTAAATTAATATCAACGACGACCCAATAATAAGAAATATCCTCAAGTGTTGATTTTAAACATTGTGTCTCTTGCCACTTCCTGAATCTTCCGGAAGCTTTATTCATTATCAACTAAAAAATTTTCTTGATTATTAGATCCCGTACTATTGATGATAATATGCTCTTTTCCCATGTTCGTTCTCTTCAAATGCATATCGCGACAATAAAAACGAACCGGCGATCTGGCCTTTGTTACCATAATTGCCCGAGATTGTATCACGAGATACTTTAAACCTGCCATTTGTTATGATTTCTTTAAATCTCGTAGAAAGTTGAAAAGCTCTTCTCAGCGTGAAATGGAAAAAATGAACCGGGCACTGATGGGAATTCGTCGAAATGCTTTCTCCCCGCAATTAATCTTCAATGCAAATTGCTAAAAGCATGCAATTGACGCTATTTTTTGTCCATCCAGATTGAGATGATGATGATGTTTCTTTAACTCCAGAGGGTTTTGCGTTGATTGTGGGTCAAGCACTTGTTACTTGTTGATGTTATTTTATTTTTCTTTAACTTAGATCCAGCAAAGAGAAAATTAAAAAATTCATGTGTGCGTAGGTGTTTTCTTCAGTTGATTGATTGAAATTATGGCTCTACTTTATACACATGAATTGGCAAACAAATCGCATCAAATCCTGTTGCTGACGAGGGAAAATCTCTAAGCAAATGAGTATAATTAAACAAGTAGATCTCTCGAATTACCTCGAGATGTTAAGTGTTTGAATCTGAAACTTTCCATTTCATGTAAACACAGCCAAACCACCGTCAAGCGGTTATTATCATTTGCTGGCTTTTACTCCACGAAAATAATTAAACTTGATCCATTTCTCGTTTTCTGGGTCATTTTTTCTACATTGTTAATCGTCGAGAGGAAAAAAACGTTGTCAGGACTGTTAATTTTACGCTTTAAAGTGCCCTCGAGGGATTTCACGATGAGTTTTCGTTTTGTCGAATAGGTTTTCCACTTTTTTTTTTGACTCATTTATAGAGCGACTTAATGCTTTGATTTGTTGCTCTTTGATATGTGTAGTGGAAATTTGTGTAAAACATCGTTTTAGTGTTTATATACTTTGCAAATAATTCAACCGCAATCCACGTAATTCTTACAAATATTTGCCCTCTTTTCATCTTGGCAAACACTTGCTAAGATGAGTTTACAACATTTCATTTACATACTTATAATCGAGTTTATGAGCCACACAGGTGAGTATTTGCAAGCATTGTCATTTTTTCTATGGAATTGTATTTGCTTATTTGCTAGTTATTAAATATTAGGATGTTCAGCAACGGAATAATCGCTTGCTTCAGAAGAAATTGTGAAAAAATACGCAGCTTATTATTTAAACAGGAATCGAGTAGTTCATTACGCTTTCAGCCAAACAAGAAAACCGCGATATTTTATTGTGCTCAGGTTCATTGAGGATGTAATTGCTCACAGTCAACCAGAAGCAATAAGCGTTACTTCCCCTTGGTTCGAGCATCGATAAATATCGATTTTTCTCACGATTAGATTATTTAAAATTTCCAGTTTCAATTACGATACAGTTAGGCTTTTCACGATTTGCAACTCTGATTTAGCGCAAGTACCGATTGCAATCTTGGGAATTACATCGGGAACGAAATTTATTATTTGCCTTGTCGCAATTATGCATGCCGAGTGCAAATGAATAACATAATTGGAACCTGCTTGCATACAGTTAGAATAACATCCAGTAATGTTGGACCAGAGGTAGCTAAGGAATTTTTTTATTGGAACTTGCGCTTTCAAGAAACTTATTGAGTAAACTTCTTCAATAAGTTCTTTCTCATTTATTGTCATGAGTTCTTAATCATTTGTGTGTTTTCTCCAATGAAGTTGCCTTGGAGAATTATCTGGAGCCCGTCCTAAAACCGTCTATCTTTATTGCTCCATTCTTTTATACACATGGGACATTCTATGGCTCAAAAAAAATTAGTAGCTCAAATAATTGTGTGTATGTGTAATATTTCTCGATTATTGAGGACTTTACTACATCGGAAACCAACAGTACCCAAGCATTAATTAATTAAATTATTAATTAAACTTACCCTTAATTAAACTCAGTTAATTTTCAGGAGTTTTCGACTGACCTCTATCCAATGGTATAAAAACGAACTCTGTGACGAGTGTGACTCAAATGGTTCTTGGGCAACGTCGAAAAAAGTCGCGTGATGTTTCGGTCAATTTCGTAGATTAAAAAAACAGGCAAAACTAAAACTCTTAACTTTGAGGAACTGAAACGCATATTTGCATATCTGAAACTGTTCTTTGGAAACAAGCTTCAGATGAGCCTGGTGTAAAAATATAAAGCCGTCAATCAGATCAATCAGAATCAATCAGAATCAATAGTTTAATTGGAACCAAATCCACATGATCAGTAAGCTGATGCTTCTTGTATTGAATACTGGAACCCAAATTTCCATTTCTGAAGCGGTTCTTTAGCGAAAAGCTTCAGATGAGCTTAATATAAAAATTTAAAGACCCCCAAAATATTCCCAAAATTTAAAAATTAACTACGAAAGAACCAATAGCTCAATCGATACCAAATCCACACTACAAGTCAGTTGATGAAGATTTCTACATGTACATGGCAACCAGGGGAAAAATAAAGCTAAGCTAACCGAAAGTTGCGTAGTACCACCTGGGCAGAAAGCAAAAAATGTGTTTAGCGCAGCAGGAAATCTGTCCAAAGCCAATCTAATTTGAAATCAGCAAATCAAATAGAGATAAATATAAAAAAAATCCATAAAAAATCAGTTTCATTTCGGAAAACTACACAGTTAAAGCTAAAAGAATTATAATAGAATAGAGATCTTACCAGATTTTTGTAAGCTGGCGCCCCATCCTCCATTTTCTACCCATTAGTCCTCAAGAAGTTCACTACACTTTCACAAAGAACGGCACTTGCCATAAGGGCCACAATATATATTTCTATATTTCCCATCTAAGAATGTGAGTAATAATAATAAGTAAGAGAGTACAAAAAGAGACACCGAAGTACAACATGATTAATTAATCATTTAATTGTTCTCATGTTTTACTTAGCTGTTCTGCTAAAAATGCTTCGTATTGCAAAATTTCCCAAGGTAAATTTCACGTTCCAACTTAACGAAAGTCAACTACAACTAAACGAAGAACGCTCCAACTGCTGATTTTTCACTGATTTAATTTTAAATTTAGAGCCATTTATGTTTGTATAAATTTCACTAGCACAACGCCAAAACTAAAATTAATAACCGAATTAATTTTGGTTTTCTGCAAATATTGACTGAACAGAAAAACCGCGAAGAAATCACTTAAAATAAAACTGTTGCTCAATTTCCGAGCGAAGAGAGAGTCCAACGAAATTTCAACTAATAAAAAATGCTTTTGAAAAGTGGCATTAAAGCCTCATTAAGGTGCAACTCACAGAGCGGCATCAACTCAAACCCGCAACTCAGTGCTACCCAGACCTACTTCCACTATGCCCTTTCTAATGGCGCAATAACAATTATAGAATATACTGATTTTAATCGAGTAGTGGACAATGCGTAGGTTTAATAGGCCATTTTGATGTCAATATATGTCTATTTGATCCTATCTAATACCTAGAAAAGTTGCTTTTGCTCGTCATTTGTTAACAGTAGATAGAATAACAGGTTTTACATTTTTTTATATATATTTTATTTACGGTTATTCTATTGTATGCGGAATGTTTGTTAATTTGTATCGTATAGAACATTTGTTGCAAAAAACATTAAAAATGTAATTAGTCGTCTTAAACTCCCGAAAACAAGTTGAAATGCAATAGCAATTGGTCATTCTCTTGCATAGGAATGGTTTTATTTCTGTTTGCTTCTGGTTTAATTGAAAATCGTAACTTTCCTTTCCATCCCTTAGTTGCTTAATCTTGGATAGTTCATAAACTTTACGAAAAACCGTCGGTACCAATTCTAAAACGAACTGGCTTGGTACCTTTTGCTGCGAAATCATGTTTTAAGTATGTTAGCAGAAGCTATTTACGCCTTTGGCTATCATTCCATATTGCGGATCACCACATATGCGAAAAATTCCTTGAATACTTTTGCTGGGCTAGAAAAATCACCTCCAATAAACTGCTGAATGGTACAATTCAAAAAATTTCAGTTACGAACTGGCAAGCCATCTGGCCGATTGAGCTACTGATTTCAATAAACTCGATTTAAGGCAGGCAAAAAAATTGTCTGACTTCCACGATGGATGAGATGAAAACGAGTTTTCAAAGAATAAAACCCAAACATCAACAGTTAAAAGGTAATTACATTTAATTAAGCATACAATCCGATGAATTTTGTTTAGTCATGTAATTTTCTACTGTTGGCGATTTAAATTATTCAAAATTACCCACCTAGTGATGGACAACATTGACGACACTCATGCCCTGACTCACAGCATGAAAAGAACTTACGCTAATCAAATCTGCTATAGCTTTATCGATCCTGGTAGCAAAAAGAATCACCATTGTGGTATCATTTGCCCATTACTAAAACACAAAGTGGACTTCACTGAGAAAATTTCAGCTAAAGTGGTTTAATTTTGGTTAGTTGATGGTGTTGGTGATGACCTCGTCCATAATTTGCGGTGGTCTATGCTGAGTTAAGGCTAGTTTTTTGCGACGAAAATTTTTAATTCGGTAAGTTCAATGTTTCGAATTAATTGTTAATTTAAAAAATGTAATCAAAATGTTTGATTTTTTTATTTGCTGGATCTTGTTTTTACCATCATAAAACCTCGTCTATTTCATGCTGATTTTGCTTGTCTTGTTTGTATTGTGTGATTTAAAATTGTTGACTGCTTTAAGAAGATTTTAGAAAAATAATAAATAAACCATTAGTTCAGAATGTGGGCCAATTTTAAACGATCGGCCGTCAAAAATAAGTACCAATTGGAAATTCCCATAGTGGTTTAACCCAAAGGATGATTAGGTGAAATCTAAAATTAATCTACTGGGGATTGCAACAGTTGCGCAATTTTCAGGCTAGTTTCGGATTGGATTTAGTACAAAAACTTTTAAATCCAATGCGAATCATTCCACATTTGCATATTGTTTTATTGAAATCGCAAACGTATACATTTGCTTTAGAATTAATAATAGAAAAAGACGAGCAACAGGTTTCTTATTTATCTATTTCCACGTTAATAAATAGCTAAATAATAGTTTTAGCGAACATTTAAATGAGCTACTTTAAGAATCAAGTGAGAACAAGCACATTAAATGATGGTTTTTAAAAAAAAACCTTTGCGGTATGCAAGCTTGCCATATAATGTAATTAATTTAATTAAGAATATTTGAGGAGGCTTTAAGGAGTTTCAGCGTAAAGCCATATCAAATACAGCAGGTCTGATCCAAACATATTAAGTCAATATAGAAAACCCGCATGCTATATATAAAAAAAAGATGGTTGATAAAACTTTCCGCACAATTCCGCAAAACAAAAAATCCGCGTTCTTATAACGCTGATTTAATTGTACACAGTTGTTTAGTAATTTGTACAATATGAAACTCCATGCTACAAAAAACAATCAACATTTAACTATCCCTTTTCTTGTCACCTCGTAACAAAAGTCTCTGAATCGTACTGAGCCGAGTTCGTTCGCGATTGGTCGTCGTTGTACTGACAATTGACAACAATATTGAAGTTACTGTGGATACCAAAAGTTCACGCCAATATACGAGGAGCCGTTTAAAACGAGATTCGAGCTAGGCGAGTGCAATGGCAAACATTTCAATTTGTTTTTGTTTACTCTGGGACTTTGCCGGATAATTGGCTATAATTGTATCAGAAAACTAGTATATCATTAATGTGTCCAATATTTAACAATAAACTAATCATTGTTTTGCCATATGATTGAATGAATGGGCTGAATCATGTTACTTGATTTGATAACATGTAGCAAATTTATTATAGGTTTTATTGCATATGCCAATAATCTAAACATTAATTACACAACAATGAAATAAATTAAAGATAAAGTAGATTGGTTTGAAGAATATATTAAGATAAATCAGAGTTATTGCCATTATGAACAAAATCTACGGCAGATTGGTTGGTTTATCAATGTAGGAGACACTCCACGTCCATAATAACAAAAAGGTGGATCACCTTGAAGATATTGAGGATATCGTATCAAATGATTTCGCACATTTTTTTATCGCTTGATCTCTTATCTAACATCGTCGCATGATTGGTTCAGCTTAACTATTCCATACAAGTAATTCCACTTTACAGGTGCGTCACTTTGAGTGGGATGATTTTTCAAACTCCAAAAGTTGGGTGACTGCGCTGTGACTATCTTATTACATAAACTATTTAGTATACTCACCTTATCATTTCCTGTGTGATAAAAAGTGGAAATAAAATCTATTTGTTCCAGTTAGTTTATTAAAGAACGCCAACATGTCAAAGAGTGATTATTTGATCAAAGACATAGAAAATGTCATTACCGGCATCGATGGTGAAATAAAAAAGATCGACATATCCAGATTAACCGCTCCCGGAGAGAATTTTATTAGCTTAGTGTTTCGTGTGGATGTCCAAGTGGAAAAGGATGGAAAAGTGGAAACGGTTCACGCAGTGGCCAAACGGCTACCGACTGTTATAAAAATGGATTTAAATGCGATTGCAATGAGACACGAAATCAAATGGTACTCTGAAATAGCGCCCTTGATCAAGGAATTCGGACAGGAATATGGAATAGATACAGACTTCTATCCAGAATGTTTGGGGACGAGACTAAGTATGGATTCAGCCAAAACAAACGCTGATGAAGAATCTGTGTTGTTGCTTAAAAACATCAATCCGGACGGTAAGTGACGAAATATAGTGGGTGTTTCGAGTATGCCCGTTAACATACAGCTGTAGAAACTGTTTTAAAAATACTTATTACTGTTTCTAGGGTTTGAAAACCTCGATCGTCACATCGGATTTGATTATCGCACTGCCAAGGCATTTCTGCGAACGCTTGCCACTTTTCACTCGATTCCCCTCGTAATAAAATTCAAAAAACCCGAACACTTTAAAATTATCAAACAATGCCTGAATAGTATTCTGGATGATGCTGCCGTGCTGAGCCCTCCTAAGGATAAACCTCCTAGTGGGCCTGACGGAAAAACTGGTGGACCTCCAAACAATCATCCATCTCCTGGTATTACCTATGGAAAAATGCTGGAAATTCCTGCATGTCAGCCCTACAGGGCAAAAATAAAAGCGATGAAGGAGGCTAACAAAGAAATGGGCGATTTCCTATTTTCGCCAGCTGACGAACCCTGGGCCACTATGGTACATAACGATTCATGGGTAAATAATATTATGGTAAAGCTCAGAGGGGAGGAGGAACCTCTGGTGAAAATGGTGGACTTCCAAGTCTGCACTTACTCGTCATTTGCTAAGGATTTGGTATTATTCCTTCTAACTAGTGTGCAGGATGATGTCCAAAGAGAGCACTTTGACGATCTTCTTCGGTAAGGCATAAGCTGCGCCATTAAACACCAAAAAAAAAAACATTTGTTGCAGATACTACTACGACCAGCTCACTTCCAAACTTGAAAAATTCAACATCCCCGAGTTGAAATTGAGCTATAGTGATTATTTGAAGGAGTTGGAAAAAGTCGCCCAGGCTGGGGAAATGGCCCATGCGATTTTCTTCACTAATCCAGTGTTTAGCGAAAAGGGAAAAGCTCCAGACTTTCTGGCTGGCGAAGCTGACATGGCCGAGTCCATGCACTTAATGATGAACAACATGGGAGAACGTCAAAAGCAAAAATTAGCTCTCATAATGGAGCTGGCTGTGCAAAGAAACTGGGCCTAGATCTCGATTCGTTTTCCTTGTTAACAGGGACAATAAGCTGCAATGTTTCACAAATGTACAAATCATGTCAGTTCGGTACTCTTGAGCTCAGTGAAAAATTGTTTTTAACCAGATTATATTTTTTAAACTAAAATTTATAGTTAAGTTTACTGCTGTAAAACCGGTTTACTGCAGTGAACTTTTCTTTAATTCAATTACCTTATGTTGTGTAGGGTAGCGTGGAAAGTGTTCTAAACATTGATTATTGTCTGATTTGTCTACTAAAGTTGAAAGTGCACCATCAGTCCACTAGAAGTATAAAAAACTTATAAAGTTATCGAAATTAACACAATATAAAATATTATACACATGCAAATTTAAGCATTGTAATTATAACATTATCCGTACTGATAGTGCTGTGAGTGAGTGTCCAATATGTTTTTTTAATAAATTTACACAAACAACGGAAGAATTTGAAAATGGAAACTTTTTTAAATTGACTTTCATACAAAATATTCAACAGAAACACAGAGTTTTTAGACAATAGTTGCAACCAATGAACTGTAAAAATCCTTGGCAAAAACGACCAATTGCAAAAAAATACCAAGGTTTTCATTACTTCCGTTTCTCAGTTTCGTTTTTTCCACAAAAATCAGGACTTTTGATAATTGTGTCGCCTTCTAGAGTCATCCATATTAAATCTTCTTCATCGACTTCACATTACTTGTGTTTTTCTATATTTGCATAGAAAATTATCCAATTGCGTTGTAAAGTGCTAAAAGTTGATTTAATTCAAAAGACATTAACATTAAAATAAACCCAAGTCGGTTAATCGTTCAGTCATTTGTCAATAATCTAAACAGCGTTTGCAAAACTCTGCAAGAAATTGAAGATAAACTAGATTGAATTGAAGGATGTATAAAGATAAGTCCTGGGTTATTGCAATTACGAACAAAGTCTACAATGGATCGGTTGGTTTATCAATGAAGGAGGCACTCAAAGTCCACCATGACAAAAAGGTTGATCACCTTCAAGATATTGAGGATATCGTATCTAATGATTTCGCACATTTTTTATCGCTTAAACTCGTGCGAAGTTGTTTATATTAGTGAGAGCGAGAGACAGGCAGTAAGTTGTTTTTTGCCGCGTTATGTATGTAAATCGTTTTAGAATGAAAAAACAAAAACGCAGTTTTTCACTAAATGAAAAGTACGAGATTATTAACAAAATAAAAAGAGGATTAAAGCAGAGTGACATTTGTAAGGAATTAGCACTTGGAAAGTCTACTGTTGCAACAATATGGAAAAACAGAGAAAACATTTTATCAGCGTA